TGACAGGTGGGTGTGGCAGGAGGGGTCTGATTTTCTCTGTAACCAAACAAAATTGAAGACTATAAAAATTATGGTTTCTCTGTGCAATCATGATTTTATGGAGAGTAATTTACGTTTAATTTCGTACTTTTTTGAGGGGTGGTGGATAAAATAGGGATGATAACATGCTAAGAGAAAATGTGTCAAGTGGGTCACACTAGGGGAAATTCAGGATTTTGTTTAATATTGCCTCGTAAAATTAATAATTTAAAACTTGTATACTATTAAAATATAGATTATTAGCTAAGATTTTATGCCATTCTAATTAGTATAACATAAACAAAAAGTAGTTTAATAAAATTTTGAATGTAAGACACTAAAATCTTGTGTCATGCGCAGTAAAGGTTACCCGTGGCGATAGGTAAACCTATATTTTTTTGACATTCAGTGTTTCCCTTTTTTACGTCATACTATAATGTTTACCATACAGACAAGGACAAGCATAGATCAGTAGGTGGATCGTATAGCGCGTGGCAAACCAATAAAGATACGTTCAAAACAACTTGGTAATCATCAACGTTTAAACGGTTTAGTAACAGTTAGAAACCTACGCTTGTTGCTGTCACATAGTGAAAGGAGTAAGAAACCATCTTTTGCGTTACAATCGTTTACAATATTTCATTCATGTCAAGAAAATTTCCGTTTTTCGATTCAACGAGATTAGGTAACTAACACGCATCAAATGACTTCCAGCGATAAGATCTCGAGCCGGACTACTTTTCTAACATTGCAATAACTTTGTAGAACCCTGCACCTTTTTAATGGACCTGCCCCACAGAGAAAAATGTACCAGTTCTCATTACAGTGAGGTATAAACCTAATGCATACAACCGGTGGTAATAACAAAAAATAAAAAAATATCACAAGGTTTGGGAGATTGGTACAATAAATCCCTTAATGCTATGCAACTTAATCATGAATCTCGGTTGCTACTCACACAGTTAAAACTGTGGATTAAATTATTTAAGCAGTATATCCTGATCAACAACATCTTCAAATTACGGTTTAAAAACTACTACGAACGTGGCTATGAATAATACAAGTTCATTGGTCGTTATATTAGTTTAGGAAAAGACACTGTATTTTAAAGCGAACTTTCACTAAACCAATTCGAATCGTAAGGGAACGACAGAGAATCAGAATGCAAGCTAGACTAGTTGCATTCTTTCCTTGTGTCCGGAGTACAAAACACACGATAAACATAACTATATATACAGTGTTATGTTGGGAGTGTTGTTGACTATTATATATATATATATATATATATA